CGGTCAGCAGCCGCAGTGAGCGGCTGTCCAGAAGCCGGCAACTGATCTGCCTCGCCGGGAAGAGCGCAATGATGGTGCCAACTTGGGCCAGTGAAGCAACGTCCTCCACAACTATATTGAAGAACAAAATGACAGCAACTTGCCTGTTCCCCTTTCCCCAATTCCCCAGCACTGTTCCCATCTCCCCAATTCCCCAATTAAAAAAAAAACAAAACAAAAAAAACAACTCTGTGGCTTGGGAGACGGCCCCCATTACCTGCCTTAACGTAGGCACATGACCTCCTTGGGACTGAGCAGAGCCCTCACCTAGTGGGCTGCAGAGGGATGGATAGAATGGAATACCCGTAGGAAGATTGGAATGTGAGGACAAGAGCATGGCACTGCTCTATGATCCTGCAAGGCCAAGGGGAGCTTGGTGCCCCAGGAAGACACGTCGGCTCCCACCTGGCCCCACCCAGGTCTTGCTGGATGCCCATCCCAGGGCCCCAACAGTCCACCCTGAGGCTTGAACTCAGATCCCTGTCACCCAGGCTAGGCTGGACCCACTCCCCATGCTGCCTGATGACATCTGGATTGGTCTCAAGTCTCACGAGATGATGTCCCTGTGCCAGGGACAGGGCTGTCTTCACCAGGGAGGCCCCACAAGGCCATCTCCTGCCAGGTTGCTGGCTGGAGCAGGCACTGTTGGATGAGGACACTGGGAAGGAGTAAACACTGGCCCTGATCCTGAAGTGATCCAACTGTGACAACCCCACAGGGAGGATGAGGATAAAATGGTGTGTGCCAAACCCCAAGCACTGAGGGTCCTCCCTCAGCCTGTTAGTCCCATAACGTCCCACTGACACTGCCTATCCCCTTCAGGGGTGACAAGTGAGGCTGCTCAAGGCCACCGGGGTCCTGACCGTGATGTGGCTGGAGAGACCCTGTTGAAGGGTCAACGCTGAGCAGACGTCAGGGCTGAGGTGCGGGCAAGACTGGCATGGATGGGGGCAGAGAGGTGCAGCCTCAGCAGCAGAGCCCCTGAAGGAGCCCCACAGGGCAGCACAGGTTGTACCCCCTCTGAATTCAGGTTTCATCAAAACCCAATGAGTAAGTTTGTACAGAAATGTTACAAACATCTCAAAACACACACACTTCATCCTTTTATCTTTAGAATGTTCCTGTTGTCCTTCATTGGGGAGCAGCGGGGGAGGGGAACTGTAACCGGGGTTGGCAGGGACCCTAACTCCAGGCTGTCTTCCAAGCCGTCAGAACATAGGAGGGGACGGGGATGGGGATCCTAGACACCAGCAGTGCAATGGGCCCCAAGGGGTCCCCCTTCAGCCTCAGGATAACAGTGACAGCTGTACTGCTGTTCCCTTCCTGTTCCAGGCATGGGCCATGTTCCTGGGATCAGAGCCATCAGTTCAGTCTCCAGGACCAAACATTTACAGGCCCGAGTGGCTTGGAAAAACAAGGGCATTCTGGGTGAGACCATGGCTGTTCTGGTTGCCAGGGCGACCAGACACCAGCAGGGGCCCCTGTGCCCACTGTCCCAGCCACCCTCTGGGGGCTCAGAGAATAACAGTCTCTGTGGGGAAAGGGGCCTTGATCCAGAATCTGTGCCCCTTCAAAGTCTTTGGATACCCACAGAGAAGCAGGATGGGGGCTTGGGAGCCGGAGTTCAGCGTAAACCTCTGGGGACTTACGTGAGGGCAGGGGAAAGCACTTTAGCAGGGCACTTGATCTGGGCCAGGGGACCAGGGCAAGGAGGCTCAACCCTATCAGCCCACTCGGGGATCCAGTGTCTGAGGCTCCAACTGCCTAGTGCACAGCTGAGGGGGCCAAAACACCTCTATTTTGCATGGGGATCAGGCAGCAGCCACCTGGGAGCTCGGTACAGGGGAAGGAGCCCCCAGGCCTCGACACAGCGCCTCTACCCATCAGGAAGTGCCCGGATGGAAGCCCAGGTGGTTTGTTCTGTCATTTTTATCCTCTTAAGCCCCACATATTTCGAGCATAAGTGGCAGCTGCCAAGATCCCCGGTGTCAACCTCCGCCATCTCAGCAAGGCCCTCCTGGCCACATGGAGTGGGGCCTCTGTTGTGACTGAACACCAGCTCTAGACAAGACCAGCTGTGAGAATACTCACCCTATTGCCTCAGAGTTTAAAAGACAGATATGGTGCAGGGAGCTCTGAGCCGGGTCTGCATAAGGGGTTCCCTTAGGCCCACAGCAGGGCTGGCCCAAAGCTGGTGAGGACAGGCAGATGAGGGGTGGTCAGCTGTCCCCACTGAGGACAGGCCACCTGACCCTCGGGGAGAAGGATCGAGGTACTGCTCAGTCCTTTGCTCCACTGACTCTTTGCAGGGACAAAGACTGGAGGGAGTGATTCAGGGCAGGAGGCAGGCCCCCAAGGAGCTCAAAGCCCAGAGAGGAGAAAGGACTGTCCAGACCAAATGAAGGAGGCATCCACCCATCCTGCTCAAGTAGTGGAGGACCTTTTCCCCAAAATATCACTACCAGTGGGCCCAGGAATGCTGTCCCTACTCCATGGCCCAGACTTCATCATGTTGCCAGATGGAGCTGAGCTCCAAGCAGGACAGGTCCCATCTACCTTCAGTTTTCCAAGGTCACGAGGACAAGAAAGTTCCCAGTGGGCTTCCAGCAGCTCCCTAGTCAGAACCTAGCTCCTGTCAAACCACAATCCCAGGAGGCCCACGCTGACCCCTGGGCCAAGGGCAGGCGGCCTTGGCCTCTCACATTGGCCAGTGCCGCAAAGGGATGAGATTTTCCCAGAATCCTGGGTGAATGGTTGGCAGGAAAGACCTCTTGGTGAGTGACCTCAGCACTCCGGTTGCAGTGATTCGAACAGCTCAGCCGTCTTCCAGCAACCCACACAGGTCACAATCCAAAATGCTCCAGCACCCCCTAGAGCAGTCTTCAACTGCCTGTGTCCCCAGCCTGAGGGCTCATGGCCAAGTTCAGGGAGCACCAGAACCCGAGCCCAAATGTGACAACCAGCCTCCGACTATTTTGTGGCAGAAGGGACAGGCGTCAGAGACCAGGCCAGCAGTCTCCCTTCTTTTCCTTATTTTTTAATGGCTGCATTTCAAAGACGAACCCGTTCCTTTCCTAGAAAACTCCACAGGAAGGGGCTGTGTTAGTGCAACAGAGAGGCGACGCTGACAAGACGAAAATGCTCTCCAGACATCTCAAGGATAAGGTCTCTTCAGCCCAGGCCGGCCACCGGCTGAGAAATGACCAGGGAGAGCAGTCCCTGTCCTCACCCCGCCCCACCCTCCCTGGATGCTGAGCTGGAGGCCGCCGTATCCTGCGCTGTTTTCAGGCTGGGAGCTAAGGCACCAGGGCAGTGGGAGCCGGAGCCCCTGTCCAGGGCTGGCAAAACCCCAGCACATCAGCAGGCCAGCAGCTCACTGCCCTCCACCTGCAGGCCTTTGCTCAGGAGGAAGGCGTCCTGCTTGGGGTCACGGCCCAGGAAGAGCTTCAGCATGACGCTGGCATCCTGGGAGCCGCCAGGTTTCAGGATGCAGCTTCTGTAGTCCATGCCAACCTGCCAAGGGGCAGAGGCGGGGCTGGGCGAGGGTCTCCCCACCCCTCTAGATGGCTTGAGTGTCCCTCCCGTCCCCAGAGTGCCTGTGGGCACCTCATCAGCATCACAAGGGACGGGGTCTCAGAGTCAGTATGGGTTCAGGGACCCTGTCTTTCAGGACGGGGTGGCCGAGCCTCTGTTGTGACTGAACAAAGGGCTGGGAAGCTGGCTGAGTCCCCCAGCATGGGGTGTTGGGTGGAGCCCCCAGGGCTGAGGGAGGCCATTCCTGAGGGAAGGACGGCTATTCCTGGTGCTGAGCAGTGGGGAGCACCCCTTGAAGACCACCGCTAGCTCACCTTGCCATTGAGGACACCCTCCTGCTTGAAGCGCGTGTGGAACATGTCCATGGAGAACACCTCACTCCACAGGTAGCCGTAGTACTGTGCATCGTAGCCGCCCGCCAGGTGGCCGAAGGTTGCAGGCATGTTGGTCCCTGGGCAGACACGGGAGGCTCACACTGCACCCTGGCCTGGCCTCTCCGTCTCTGCCTCATGAGGGGGCTTCAAAGCAGCCCCATCAGACACCCCCACCCGGAATGGGGGAACTGACCCAACACTTCCATCCAGAAGGCAGGGCCGGGAGGCTCAATGAGCCTTTGCCCACAACCTGCTGAGGCTTAGGGTTCACCCTAAACACCTTCAACAATGCTGCTGCCCTCTCAGCACCAGGGTCCCATGTCGGGTGACCCCGGGGCAAGTCAAGGCTCGCCCCCACGACAGTGTGCGTTGGTTAACATGCTTTTTGAAGGGTTTTTCAAATGCTCATGAAATAGTAAACCAGTGCAACACGACCCATATTGAATCCCAATCATCTTCGTGCACATGTACCGATCGAATGTCTGTGCCAATGTGCACGTGTGCACACTCAGAGGTTGCACATCAAAACCTCATGTACTCGTCGTCTCCAGGGTACGAGATCACTCTTTTCTGTGCCTCCCAGGCTTCTCACAAAGCAAAGTGTGGGAGGGCGCCCCGCAGAAGGGCTTGAGACTGGGGGTGGAAGTGGCACGCACAGCCCCGCAAGTGGTAGACCTGCCGGTAGAGGTGGAACCACCCACACCAACCAACTGCCCAACCGCGCGGTGGCTCTGCAGCCAGAGCCAAGGGCTTGGGATCCCAAAGTGAGGCCAAAGGCAGCCTGCTTTTCGGGTCAGCCAAACCTGTGCACAGGCCCAACTCCCTTCACATAGCGCTAGGTCTTTTGACCCAGGGAAGGACAGAGACCCCCAATTTCTAGGGGGCCTGGATCATGGGCTACCTGGTGTGGCTGGGACCCCAAGGACCTCCTGACACAGGCGAGCATACTCCTCGGCCGGGTCTGCAGTCGTCTGCGTGTGCAGGGCCTGGTCCACCTTGGCCAGGACGATCTGGCGCAGGTTGAAGAGACCTAGGCAGAGGGAAGGAGACGGGAGCTGGCTCTGCAGCCGGGTGGGCCAGAGATCCCTGAGGGCACACTGGGCAGTGTGGGCACCAGGGACTCCCTCCCTTCCTGGCCTCGCAGAGATTCTCTGGCTGGGCAGGGTGGGGGGACACCTGTGTTGGCCTGCCGGGACCTGATGAGCTTCTCAAGCAGCTCCTGGGGGATGGCACTGCCCGTCCTGTAGTGCTGTGACATTCTGAGCAGTGGCTCCTTCTCCCACACCCAGTTCTCCAGCATCTGCGAAGGCGCCTCCACAAAGTCACGCTCCACATGCGTCCCACTGAACATGGCAAACTCCGCCTGTGGGAATGGGGCAGATCCCAGGAATGCCGGGCCCCACTCAGCCAGCTCTCGTCCACCCAGCCTTACCTGGGCACACAGGTCCATGACATATACCTGGGCAGGTAGATAACTTCCTGGGCTTGGGCCCTTCCTCCCCCAGACCGTGACACCTGGTCGCGGGTGAGGACAATTAAGGCTCCCTGGACAGGCTGTCTCAGCCCAGGACACACTGGGAGGCAGAGAGCACCCGCGTCCTGGCTGGTAACCCACATTCCCTTCCCCCACCCATAAAGCCAATACTCTCAAAAAAGTCCTGTACCCCAAAAGGCTATGGCCTGGAAACGGTGGAATCTGAATGATAGACGTTGGAATATGCACTGTATTTTGTCCACTTTGGTGTGTCTGAAAGTTTCCTGAAAAACAGCACAGCTAGAACCCAGGTCTGGCAGCTGATCAGCCAAACAGGCTGCTGAGTGATCTTGGGCAAGTCCTTCAGGGCCAGAGTAAGGCGGGGGAACCAGGAGAGGCCACACGGCTGGTCCTCTTTATTCGCAGATTCCGTATTTATGAACTGCGACGCGCTAAAACTTATTGGTAACCCCAGAATCAACTGGCGCGGCACTCTCATGGTCCTCCAGCGCCCGCCTCCTGATCTCTGTAACAAGTGTCCTTTACACCGTCTATTGAGTGTCCTTGGTGTTTTACACACGTGTGGTTTTGCAGGTGATTTTGCTGTTCAAAGTGGCCCCCACGCGTGGTGCTGAGGTGCTGGCTAGTGCCCCTGAGCACCAGAACGCTGAGATGTGCCTCACAGAGCAAATGTGTTCGAGAAGCTTTGTTCAGGCCTGCATTAAGTACTGTTGGACATGAAGCAACAACGCTTATCACACAAGGGGGCTAAACAGAATATGACACACAAGGTACTGCTTGGTTAAGGAAAGTGTTGGGAGCAGAGGCTCACAGGGACCGCACGTTGCATTTCTCCCAGGAACAGGGGCTCAGTGCCCGCTAACTCGGTGTATGTGGTGACTTCATAAAACAGAGTTGCTACAAATAATGAGAGTCGACTGTATCAGAATAGACCTGAAGAAAATGAAATGGAACTGTGACAGTCACTGGCAGAAGAATATTCCAGATATGGGAAATAATCTGTGAGCATACTGTACAGAGAAGGGATGTGAACGGAACTGACAAGGTGATGAGAGGCGGCCTCAGTTGCAGTTTGCGGTTGAGTGGGTGACCCTTACCTCACACCATAGACAACATTTAACTCACAAAGAACGACAGACTAAAATGAAGAGCTCAAACTTCCAGAAAAAGAAATTAGCAGAAAATCTTAGTGCCCTGGGTTAGGAAATGATTTCTTCAACAGGACACAAAAAAGTATAAACTATGAAAGATAAGCGTTAATAGATTGAACTTCATCAAAGTCAAAAACTTCTCATCAAGATACCTCTAAGTGGCCCATCCACACATGGGAGTGTTACTCAGCTGTGAAAAGGAGGGAGGCACTGACAATCACCACAGCGTGGATGGACCTTGAACACACGGTGCTCAGTGAGAGAAGCCAGACACACAAGGCCACACAGTGTATGATTCCGTTTATGTGAAATGTCCAAACAGGCACATCCAGGCAGGACATGGGTTACTGGTTTTCGAGGACTGAGGAGTGGGTGGAGACAGTAGGGAGTGACAGCTAAGAGGCAGGAAGAAGTTTTTAGATGTGATGGAATATTCCAGAATTGGACAGTGGTTATGGCTGCCCAGCTTGGCGAACTGACTAAAAATCACTGAGCACCTAGTTCCCACAAGACCCTGTTCAGCCTCTAGGCACATCTTCACCATCAGGACAGAGGGCTGACCATGTGTGAGAAAGAGGGCCAGAGAGCGAATGTCCATGTACAGCCGGGGTCCTGTGTTCCAGATACCAGGCTGGGGCCCAGAGAACCCGGCTGAGTACTGTCTCTGCCACTGAGGCCTGTCTGGGGAAGCTGCTTCAACTTCCTGAGTCTCTGTATCCCCACAGAGGGACGGCGCCCTCGACCTACTCACTGGGCTCAGTAAGCGCTCCCTGGACCCAGAACTGGGACCTGTGTCTGCGCTCTGGCTGTCACTGCTGGCTTTCATTGGAACGCACACCGTTTCCTACCATGAGCTAACAGGCGATGAGGCCTGCATGAGCGCCGTTCTAAGCACGTTACATACACACATTACCTTCACTAATCCAATAGCTCTCTGAGAGCTATTATGGACTGAACTGTGCCCCCCCCCCCATTCCTGTGGACCTCAGAATGTGACTGTATTTGGAGATAGGATCTGTAAGAGTGGATTAAATGAGGTATGAGGGAGGGACCTAATCCAATATGACTGGTGTCCTTATAAGAGATTAGGACACAGACTTGCACAGAGGAACAACCCTGTGAGGACATAGTGAGAAGACGGCATCTACACGCCAAGGACAGAGGCCACAGGGTAAACCAGCCCTGCCAGCACCTGGATCCCAGATTTCAGCCTCTAGAACTTGAAGACGTAAGTTATCTGTTGTTTAAGCCCCAGTCTGTGGAACTTTGTGATGGAAATTGGTATGAGTGTTCTGTATCCATGGTAATGTCACATGAAGGATGCAACACGGGGGTCCTGCCTCCAGACCTACTAACCACCAGACCCACTAACCCCACCCAGCCACCCAGCCAGCCCCCACGCCCACCTGAGAGCAGAGCTGGTGCATCACATGCCCAAACTCATGGAAGTAGGTCTCCACCTCATCGTGCTGCAGCAGCGAAGGGGCATCCGGGGTGGGCTTGGTGAAGTTGGCCACCATGGCTGCAATGGCAATCTGGCGGCTCCCGTCCTGCCGCAGGCAGCCCGGCTGCAGGCCAAAGCAGGCCGCGTGCCCGTACTTGCCTTCCCTGGGAGGAGGGAGGCTGGTCAGGCCTGGCTGGGAGTCCACTTTGCTTGCTGACTGGCACAGAGGGATATCGACCCCAGGACAGTCCCTGATTCTGCCACTCACTGACCAATCTACCAGCCGAGGTGACGACACACTGAAGTGTTCTAGGTAGAAGAGCGAGCACCCATGTCCCCAAATGCTGTGACCACTCCTGGCCCCTCATCCTGCCCTATGCAGCGCCTCACACACATCCCATTTCACATGGGGGAAGGCTGAGGCTCAGAGATGGGTGCCCCTCCCGCCCCAGCTCACACGCACCGGGGGTACAGGTCCAGGTAGAACTTCCCAATGACCATCCCCGAGGCAGCATCCCTCACTGAGTACAGCTTCACGTCTTCGTGCCACACGGTGGCATGCTCCTCCAGGTCGAAGGTCAGCCCCAGCAGCTCCTGGTAGATGCCCAGCAGCCCCCTGGTGACCACCTGCATGGGGAAGTACTCCTTGAGCAGGTTCTGGTCCACGCTATAGCGTGTCTCCTCCACCTGGTTCATGTAGTAGCGCATGTCCCAGGCATTGATGCGGCTGTCGAAGTCTAGGCCCCGCGTCTCACACTCAGCCTTCTTCAGCTCCAGGATCACTGCCCTCTCCTGTTCCCCCAGGGGCTTTAGCTTCTGGGCCAGCTCATCTGGGAGGACAAAGGGGACAAGCAAGGTTACTTCCCCGTGGCAGGCACCCCAAAGCCACCATGCCCACCCCGACCACGGCCAACTCCGACACATTGGCCTTGGCTTTCTCTAGCTGTGCACATTTGGGCTCCAGCATCGCATGTGTGAAGGACAGGACTGAGCTGACGACCTGACAGAGGCCAGCGCTGCATCACCTCACAGCAGTGCCAGCAGGGGTCATCAGTCTCGGTTTCACCAGGAGGAAACGACAGCCGGATGTGGAGATGCTTGACTAGAGCCTCATGCTGGGAAGGGCAGAGCTGAGCCAGTCTAAGACCTCACCCTGGAGCCCTAACGCTCAGCCATTAGATTAGAGTCCCTCGGACAAAAAAAAAAAAGGGGGTCAGGGGAGGCATGAGGATGCCCACGTCAGGGTGGACAGAACAGGGCTCCCACAGGCACCAGGACGTCACAGTCAAGAACAGCCCCATAACTGCTTCTGAAACCCAAACAGGAAGTGGAGGAAGGCCAGGCTACCTAGAAAAGTGGCTACCGCCTGGCTGTTCTTGGCCATGTTCATCTCCAGGACGTAGTCGGCGTGAGTGCTGAATCCCAGCAGGCTGGACTTCTGGGCCCGCAAGGTCACCAGTTCCCTGAGGATGGCACAGTTCTCCTGGAACCAACAAGTGACCAGGCCTGTGGGTGATGGGCACTACCGCCCATCCACCCCCGGCTCCCAGGTCAGCAGCCTGCTCCCTCATGGGTCTCAGCAGCTGCAGAGAGGCTTGGGCCCTGCTGCACAGTTGTGGAACACCAGGACTAGGCCAGCTGTGTCTGCTTTCCCTCCCTCCTGCTCGTGGCCCAGATTTCTATGCACTTGGTCCTGTACGACATGTGGGGCTTTATAAGCCCTTGTGTCCTTTCTGGAACCACAAAGAGTGTGAGCCGTGAAGGGTTCTGAGGCCAAGTGGAAAGCAGTGAGGGAACAGGGGCCCTCCAGGATGGCCTCGGGGGGCACCATGCATTGGGGTGCCCCTATCTCGCAGGGCCTGGCCCTGGGCTCAAGGCTGCACCTTGTTACCACCCACATCTCTGAGCAGTCGACTCAGCCAACCAAACTCATGGGGCCGGCATAAAATGAAACCCATCGGATTTGTTTACAAGGAAACAGGCCAGTTCTGAACAGAACAGAGCGCTCTCACCGGCACAACTGGCCCATAGAAAACCAAATTACAACTGGAAGTCAAGTGAAGAGCTTTCAGTGGGGCTGGTGGCCAGCAGTGTCAATCACACCGTGTGCACAGGGACCTGGAATCGGCCCGGCCCTGCTTTGCCTCTTGGGTCAAGTCTGGGGCCAGGACAGATGCAAGGACAAGGGAACGATAAGGTAGAGGCTCCGACCCCTGCTCTGCGTGGCCCCAGGGACAGAGCCAGACTTGATGGGGAGATCTCCAAGGGCAACCACACTCATGGGGGACCTCGCCAGTCCCTGGACCTGATCCGTCAGACACTGGGCGACTCACACCAGCACTGAGCAGACAGGACACGTCTGACACTTCCAAGTTGCAGACAAGACAGTTCCATGGGCAAACCCCCTCCAGCCAGACCCCGACCTTCTCACCTCCTTGCACCGACAATTAAATGCCTCCTCCACCTTCCTTCTGGTCTCGGGCACGTGGCATTTCTTCAGGAGGGGAAAATAGTGAGGGTACTTGAGGGTGACTTTGAACTTCTCATCCTCAGTCTTTTCCAGAGAGTTCAGGAAGTCCTCGGGGAGCCCTCCTGTGGGAACGAAATCAGGGGGGCTTTCAAAGACCAACACACAGAGGAGGCAGGAGGGGTGGGCTAGGAACAGGAGCTGGCAGAGAGCGATAGGCCTGGCCACCCCTCCATATACTCTCTGATTCCGGCTGCTCACCTCCTCCCTGAACCCCAAAGAAAAGATGTCGAGGGCTCTCCCACCTCGGAAATCTGCTACCATCTGTATCAGGACTCCTGCAGGAAGGAAAAGCTACATTTGCTAGACCCTTGGATGACATGGGCTTCCCAGGGCTGCAGTCTCCTCCCTCATCCTTTCTCGGTAAATGGCACCATGGCGGACAGAACCCACCTGGCAGCCGACTGTGCCCCTGCTGGGCAGCACCCTGCCCCATCCCGGCAGCCCCCACTGCTGCAAAGGCCTCCCACCTGGTCCCCTGCTCCTGACCCGTCCTCCCATGACAGAGATCTGGGTGCATCACACTTGGACTGAGCACCTCTGGGGGCTCCCGACTCACAGGGAAAAGGACAGAATGGGCCTGGAGCATCCTGTGTCAAAAAGGAGCTCAAAGACTAACAGGGACACATCAAGCTTGAAGGAGCCCCTCAAGGTCAATTTGGGACAATCTGTGCATAAAAATAAATGACAGCAGTGGACTACACCCACTGAATAAAATAGAATCTGTAGTCCACACTGATATAAATCAACAAGTCAATAAGTAAATGGGGGGTGGGGAAAGCTCTGACTTACGAGAGAAAAACAACTAACAAACATACAAAGAATGGAGTTAGTCATGCATGGGTGCTACAGCTTGTGGGTGGAAATGTGTGATGAGCCGGGTCTCAAAGCTGCTCTAGAGATATTATTGATCAGGAAGGGAAAACTGGTAACATTACAGTGGAGATTCCTGATGGAGACTCACCGAGCCAACTGATCAAGATTCAGGAAAAAAGATACATATAAATATAGACAGGTACACTGTCTATGTTTATGTAACATAACACTAAGTATTTCTTCTACAACAACAAAAAAAGCAAGTGCCACAATCTTGCTTAGCAGGACCCACAGGCAGGTCCCAGCCACCGTCATCACACCCACCCCAGCGAGATGCAGCGAGGCTGGCCATGGCTCTGCACAGTTATCTGCTCCACATGCTGGGAATTCAAGCTGCCCACACGGGAGGCCAGGCCAACATAGGAGGCCCTTGGGCTGGACAAACGGACCGCAAAGCAGGCCCACAGGATCCACATTCCAGACACCCAGGACTCCCCTTTGGCCAGGAAACATGGCAGCTGTCCTTAAATGTCACGAGCCATGTAGTGGGACTAGCTGCCCAGGACATGGGGGGACTGAACAAGAATGGGAGAGGCAGAGCATGGCAGTGAGGGATCTGTAAGCACTTGCTCACAAAAACACATGTCTGTAGGTGTCTCAGCCATGCAGCCACTCTCGGAGGCCTTAGCAACAAGAACTCTGAATCCTGGCCGCCCCTGAGGCAAAGGCTATTGGACTCCTAGAGCCGATCTCACGTAACAGCACCCTATACTGCCTTACACAGGCTGGGTAGGATATGCAGCCTCATTGGAGCCCCTCACAGCCTGCAGCACAGACACTGGCCTGGAGTTTTCAAAGCTGTGTCAGGAAAGACGGGAAATTTTGTGAAAGGCCAAGGAACTGTTCGACAGGAAGGGAGCCTGCTGAGACACGAGACACAGAAACCGAATGTGATTGTGATCCCTGACTGAATACTGGAGGTGGAAGGGGGAGAGGTGGGGCACTTTGGAAACAGCTGAGGTGGGAAGACCCGTCTGCACTCTGGACCACGGCACCTATGTTCGCCGCCCTGCTTCGAGAGTGTGAAATCTGCACTGAGGATGCAGAAGGTCCTAATCCTGGCACCATTCATGCAACTTTCCTACATGTGTGAAACTTCAGAATAAAACAGTCAGGGAAAAGAGAAGTAGAGAAATGAGAAAAAACGCCTAGTCCCCAACCCTTCAGAATTCCCGGGAACAGCTGATTCAGTCTCTCTCCTTTGTTTTATAAGCTTTTAAAAAATAAAAATAAGAAAGTGTTGTGAGGGGTGGATGTGGATCTGAGGGGATGTCCAGCTGACTCAGGAGCAAGACCGAGACTGGTGCCACAACCCTCACACCCTTGCGCAGGCTCCTGCCACTGCCTGAGAACATCTCCTGTCAGGGGCAGAATCTTGGTATAGACCACGGCCCTCCGCAAGAAGGATCTAGAACCTCAGGTTCCAAAACGCTGAGCGTGCCAAGTGCAAAACTGGCCCAGGGTGGTGGGATACAATGCCTGGGCCACCACGGGGACGCAGGATCGAGGGTCCCCTTCCCCACAGAGTCACCACGTACCCAGCTCCTCCCGCGTGAAGGGCAGGAAGGTCATGTCCTCGTTCAGGTTCTTATTGAAGTCGATGCACAGCAGACTCAGCTTCTTCTTGATGCCTTTGATTTTCTGCAGGAGAGAGGAGTCCTGAGGAGAGGAGCACCGCTGTTGAGACCCCCAGGGTTGGGGTCCCCCCACAGAAAAGGCAGTGAAGTGGGAAGAGGTTTGTGGCCAGGACACCTGCCTGCTGTGCTGAGTGGCCTCACGGTCTGGGGTCCCCTGCCCAGAGCTTTGTGGAGTCACCCCCAAGTCTGTGACCTAAGCTTTTGGACATCGTAACAGACCTCTATGTTCTTCCTTCCAGGGTCAATCTGGCTTTTAGAAAGCGTTAAGGACCGACCCGAGTCTGGGTGAGGGGGAGACAAGGGGGCGCAAAGGAAGGAAGCACCTGCGCTGACCGAGGGTGAGTCGGTCAGGAGCCCAGGGCTGCTTGGCACAGCAGGGTGGGGGCAGGCTGCACATTTGTTAACCACAACACCCAGAGCTGGCATCGCCCTCCCAGCCTCAGTTCCCCGCTAGAAGATGGAAGACTATCTGTGATTCTGTGACACAGTAAGAAATGTGTATTTTGTCTTGGCGCCCATTCCTGACACATGGCTCCTAAAGCCCTTGGAATCTGCTAAGTGCAAAAGCAAATGAAGCAGTTCCAGGGGGACAAAGGTGACAGGAGCCCCTTGTAACCATACCTGTCTCTGTGTTAATGAGGTGGCTTTTGGAAAGCCCTAGAACCACAGGGTGGGTGGAACTTTCAGCCCCAGCCCACTCCTCACCTCCAGCAAGGGGAGCTGGGCTACAGGGTGGACACTGAATCAGTTCCCAATGAGCAGTGATTTAATCAGTGTGCCAATATAATGAAGCCCCCACAAAATGCAAAGCACCGGGTCTGCATAGCCTTCAGGGTTGGTGAACACGTGCAGAAGTAGGGAGCAGGGGCACCGCGGAGAGCACACAAGCCCCAGGGTCCTTCCCATCCCTTGTCCCTCCATCTCTTCCATCTGCTGTACTTGACTTATAACCTTTTTTTTTTTTTTTAAAGATTCTATTGGGGAATTGGGAGAGGGGAACAAACAAGTTGCTGTTCATTTGTTCTTCAATCTAGTTGTGGAGGACGTTGCTTCACTGGCCCAAGTTGGCACCATCATTGCGCTCTTCCCGGGTGAGGCAGATCAGTCACCGGCTTCTGGACGGCCGCTCACGCTGGCTGCTGGCCGCTCACGCTGGCTGCTGGCCGCTCACGTTGGCTGCTGGCTACACACGGTAGCCCATGGCAACCCACTGCCACAGGGACTGCAGCCCACGCGGTCACCGGCGACTCATGGCAACCCAACCCCAGGTCGAGCTGCCGTTCAGCATCTTAGCTGTGGAGGGCAGCATCACTGGCCCTCATATGTGGGATCCAAACCTGGGCCCTCTGGCGTCCCAAGCCAGCTCTTAACCAACATGCCACTCGGCCAGCCCCTGACTTATAACCTTTTAAACTAAGTGGGTGACCTAGTGAGTAACACGTGTCTCAGAGCTCTGTGAGCCTGTCCAGCCAATTAATCAACCCGAGGAGAGGGGGCCATGCAATCCTGTGACTTAGAGCCAGCTGGTCAGAAGCATAGGATTCACCCTGCACTTGGAGTATGAAGTAGGGACAGCCTTGTGGAGCTGAGCCCTGGGCCTGTGGATCTGACACCATCTGATCGCGTCAGAACTGAGCTAAAGTGCAGGCCAGCCAGCCAGTGGCGGAGTCCATTCATGTGGAGTCCCCACATGTCTGGTGTCAGAAGGGAGCCGGGTCGCAGCACAGCACTGAGGGTGGGGACATAGGAGCAGTCATTTTTTCCTTAATGCCATCGCACCAAAGTCATGGAGACGACAAAAGGAGGAGGGACGCGGAGGTGCCTATGCGGCCTGCACTCTCCTCAGCTGAGGGAGCACTGGGGCCCTGAGGACTGAGGGCCAAGCAGGTGTGGAGAGCGAGCTGCTCTGGACAGACCTCCTGTCACAGGGTCAGTGGACAGGAGGCATCAGGCCAAAGGCCGGGCTGCCCCTGAGAGCCCGCACTCACTTCCTGAATTTCCTCAGGCAGGTGCAGCCCATTCCTTTGGCCGAGCTTGATCAGTCGCTCCAGGTACCGCATTGCCTCAGGTCTCAGCGAGTCCTTCTGAACTTTCTCCTGGAATAAGAAAACCGAAGTTCTGTTTAGAGTGAAAACCCATGACAGTGCCAAACACTGGGAGGCAGCGGAGGCTGGATGGCTCAGACATCGTTTAGGGTAAATGGTAAAGCAGCTAGGTGCTTTCTTAAAAAGTGAACTGTACAACAGCTGTCTGTCTCAGCAATTGCCCTCCTGGGCATCTACCCCAGAGAATGAAGATTTATGTCCACAGAACCTGTCCCCAGAGGTTTGCTTACTGGGGGAGCCCATGGGGACCAGCTCAGAGGGTCTGCAACAGCCAACGCTTCCCTGGGAACCAGATGGGTGTAAGGTTGACTTTGCTTGTGCAAAACATTCCAGTGGGGAAATCAGGCAAAGTGTAGATGAGACCACTGAATCATTTCTCACACCGCACGTAAAACTACAATCGTCTCCACTACAATTTGAGTTAAAAACAATACTGGATAGCATCTTCAGTCCCCTCCATGAGCCCTCTGTCATCAGCAGCAAAGGTCCCCATTCCCCACGAGGAGCATCAACTGGAGGTGGGACCCACACTGGTGCTATGTCACCCAGTGCTGTCACTCAACCCCGCTCACCTCACACAGGAGGCAGGACATTATCCCTTGGTAACATCCAGCAAGGTCGGGAAAGGGAAAGGAGTCCTAGGCTTCTCATTCCTCTCCATTTACCTTTGTCATTTTAAAAAATAACTTTTTGTGGTAAAACAGACATAACACGAATTTTCCACCACTTCCAAGTGCACAGCTCAGTAGTGTCAAGTCCGTTCTCACTGCTATGCAGCCATCCTCGCCGCCCACCTCCAGAACTCTCCAGCTTTTCGCCTTTTCATCTGGGTGGCAGAATGGCCCTGTCCAAAGAGGCACCCATGCAGAGACCACTCTGCCTGGCTTCCTCCCTCCCATGGGCCGGGGGCCGTGTCCTCGCTGTGTCCTCACCTGCAGCCACACGATCCTCCGGTACACGTCCTGCCTCATGCTCATCTCCACGTCAAACTCAGACAACTTCTTGTCTGCCTCTGTGCTGGCCGTCCGAATGGCCTTGGATGGAGAAACGTGCTGGGGGAAGTCAAGGATGTTCCTCTGAACTGAAACGAGACCATGGGACATGGAGGAAAATGAGCCCCAGATGGAAAGTGCCAAGTACCGAACTCACACCCCAGGCTGATAGCTCATCCATGCTTGTTGATTCATTCAGTGAACATTCTCCACTCCGGGCCCTGGGCTGGGCACTGGCATAAAGAAATGAGTGCCGGGCCAGCCGAGTGGCGTGTTGGTTAAGAGCTGGCTTGGGATGCCAGCTGTATGCAGCAGGGCCCTGGTTCAGATCCCACATTAGGGCCACTAACGCTGCGCCCTCTACAGCTAAAATGGTGAACAACAGCTCAATCTGGAGCTGGGCTGCCATGAGTCGCCAGCGATGGCGTAGGCTGCAGTGGAGCTGCAGTGGGCTCCTGTAAGCTACCGTGAGCTGCCAAGAGCCGCCGTGAGCGGCTGGCCAGTGGCCGGCAACTGAGCTGCCTCACCCGGGAAGAGCGCAATGATAGTACCAACATGGGCCAGTGAAGCAACGTCCTCCACTTACTAGGCTGAAGAACAAAAGGACAGCAATTTGTCTGTTCCCCTCCCCCAATGCCCCAATAAAATCTTAAAAAAAAAAAAAAAAGAAATGAGCACTGTCACCCGTTCCTCGGGGGCCTCAGTCCAAATGGAAACAGATTCAGCTCACAACACTCTAAGCTAAGAAGTATCGTAACAGAGAAGTATAACAAGACCAAGAGAGGCTAAAGGGACTACACTCTAGAGAAAGAGCCATGGCTGCTGATGGCTGTATTTTAAATTTACATGCGATTTTGTGATTGACAGAGCACATCTACACTTTGTTAAATAGAGGAAGAGGGGGAGGCTGTACAAGCATAAGCTTTAACACAGATTCACATGACCCAGCAACTCCATTCCTAGGTGTCCACCCATGCGAAATGAAAACACACGTCCACACAGAAACCTGTGCACACGTTTACTGTAGCAGGATTTGTAATAACCACGTAGTGGAAACAACCTAAATGTCCACTGACAGATGATGAATACACAAACGTATCCTTCCACACACTGGAGTGTTATGTGGCCATGACAGGAGTGAGGCACTGACACTTGCCACAACGCGGACGAACCTGGAGGATACTATGCTCAGTGACATCAGACAGACACAGAAGGAGGAATACTGTGTGATTCCATTTATAGGAGGTCCCCAGAGGAGTCAGATTCATAGAAACAGAGAGTAGGTGGTGGGGGCTGGCACTGGGGAAGGAGAGGGGAGTGAGTGTTTAATGGGGACAGAGTGTCAGTTTGGGAAGATGGAAAGTTCTAGAAATGGATGGTGGGGATGGCAGCACAACACTGTGAACGTATGTTATGCACTTAGCTGTGCACTCAAAATGGTTAAAATGGTAAATTTTATGTTATGTGTATTTTACATGTGAAAAAATAAATTATTTTAAAAAGGAGGCATGGACACTCGCTACTACGTGGATAGACCTTGAAAACGTGACGCTGAGTGAGAAACATCAGATACACAGTGTGTGATCCCATTTAGATGAAATGTCCAGAACAGGCACATCCGCAGACAGGAAGGGGGTTCATGGTTGGGGGGGGGGAGTGACAAAAATATTCTAAAATTTGATAATGGTGACAGTTGGACAACACTGTGAATATAATAAAAACCACTTGAACCTATGATGTTAATGGATGAACTGCAGGTATGTGAATTATACCTCAACAAAGTGGTTTTAAAAAAGCATATGCTGGGCCGGCCGAGTGGCACGATGGTTAAGAGCTGGCTTGGGACGCCAGAGGGCCCCAGTTCGGATCCCACATATGAGGGCCAGTGACACTGCCCACCACAGCTAAGATACTGAACAACAGCTCAACCTGGAGCTGGGCCGCCGTGAGTCACCGATGATGGCGTAGGCTGCAGCCCCTGTGGCAGTGGGTTGCCATGGGCTACCGTATGTAGCCAGCAGCCAGCGTGAGCGGGCAGCAGCCGCAGTGAGCGGCCGTCCAGAAGCCAGCGACTGATCTGCCTTGCCCGGGAAGAGCGCAATGATGGTGCCAATTTGGGCCAGTGAAAGCAACGTCCTCCACAACTAGACTGAAGAACAAAATAGGACAGCAACTTGTCTGTTCCCCTTCCCCCAATTCCCCAGCACTATTCCCATCCCCCCAATTCCCCAATAAAAAAAAAAAAAATCTTAAAAAAAAAAAAAAAGCATATGCTTTGCATCAGGAGACTAAATTCAAACTGCACTTCCATGGTTCTGGGCCAATGAAATGTCCCCAGCTCTGGGTGTGTCTAGCTACACCATGGAGACCTCTGAGGGAGGGACAAGGACAGACCCACTCAGCGGACTTGTATTAAACATAGTGGGGCTCTGGGCCAGGCCTGATGATGGCTGCCCAAGGAGAACAGTGAAAAGGACAGAACCACCCTCTGGGTTTGGGATTTGCAGGCTGACAAGCGGAGGTAACTGCACCAAGTATGATATCAAAACAGTTTGGGATGAGAGTTTAATCTAGACAGCTGGAGTGGGGAGAAGGGGCCCAGGGAGCGAGCGGCTTCTATGATCACACAGTAGCCTGACATCCAGCAAAGCAGAGAGTGAGAAGAACTCCAGGCCGAGAGAGGAAGGAGTGAGCAAGTGCAAGGTCACGTGGCCAGCAGACAGCCCAGGGAGGGTGAGGGAGGCCAACAGCACAGGGCACTGAAGGCCACGTCCAGGAGTCTGGCCAAAGGCTTGGCAGAGAGAAGAACCATGAGTCAATTTTCTTTAATATCGTCCAGGCTACTGAGCACAGACAGAAAAAAAAGCTGCAGGAGCAGAATTGGGGGTGGGAGTTATGCCTGAGAAGTGGGAATTAGCACCCCTCAATCCTCGAGAGCCTGTGAGAGAAAGAGGGGCCCCTGAGGCCCACCTGCCTAAAACCAGGGAAAGAGAGGCAGAGGCAGGATGCGGAGCCCAGCCCTCAGCACCAGCCAAGCTGGCACAGTGAGGCCTCAGGGACACACGAGAATCCTGCAGAGAGAATTCGGGGAGTCTCAATGGTTCCCAGAAAAATGACTTTGCTAGAGATTCGGGGTCAGGGGGTTTACTCGCCTTGGGGTGCTCTGCCATGAGACCTCTCAGTCTCTTGTCCCTCCACTGTCAACCTCTACAGAGGGGACTCTGGAAAGCAGGTTTCCTATCTATTTGATCAAGCACCTCGCTCCTCTAAAAGGAAGCAAACAGACCCCAAGGAGGAGAGGATTCAGCTGGGTGGCAATGAGGACATGGGACGGCGTCAGGTTACCCAAAGTGCGGGGGAGGGAGGCCATGGGGAGTAGAAAAGCAAGGGGGCCAAGTTCAGTTCTAAAAGAGAAAGCAATATCCCCTGGGACACAGAAAGGGGTGAGAGGGGCTCCAGTTTCAAGGCTGGCACCTGAGCTGGCTCTTGGAGAGGGGTGCCGTTAGACATACTGTCCCCTCTGGGCCCTCAGATGACACACCCGTGAGGACCAAGCATGCCAGGTGGCCAAGTGAAGCAAGGAACAGGGGCACTGGCGCCCCATCATTGGGGAGGCCCTTAACCACCCCAGCCTCTGGCGATGGGTCTCAGGGCCCCCACCCGGACCCTGTCCTGGACTTGCCTGTGTAGGACACCTCCACATCAGCCAGTGCCTTGAGTGTACTCTCATAGGACACGTCCTCGAACTTCTGGGAGCCCACCTGGTCATACACGCGCTTGGTCTGCTCCATGAGTTCTACCGTGAGCTCCCCTATTTGCTGGGCGCTCAGGTCCCATCTCAGGTAGTTCACCGCAGAGCAGGGGGCTGCCGCGTCCAGCGCATCTCCTGCACAGGCTGCATAGGAGACAAAACCCCACGCTGAGCATCTGCTTCACGTCCAGAATTAGGGTCAGAGTAATTGGGGGGCGGAGGGAGAGGGCCACCATGTTCCCCTACAGATGAGCAGGTGACTCTGCTCTCCATGGGACACTGGATGATGTCTGGGGAAGTGGTTGTCACAACTGGGGAGCAATGCTACTGCACTGAAGAGGTGGGGCCAGGGATGCTGCTCAGCACCCCAGTGCCCAGGAAGCTCCCCACCCCAGACCAGCCCCAGTGTCAGCAGTGGTGAGGTGGACATTTGGTGTATACCTGCTTTTCACCCAAAGAATATTCTTGATGACAGGGTGCAACCCCTGACCTCCCTGGATATAACATGACATTTGTATTGTATTGCCTTTCTAAAATAGGGGAAAATCTTGATTACTGAAACATCCCTAGCCCCGAGAGCTTTTGGATAAGAGACTGTGGTCCATAATATGCTGACACTTGACAACTTCCATGTGGGGTTCAGAGTGTAAGATGTTTTGTGCTTGTCCCCTTGCTGAATTCTTAGACAGTTCTGTACACTGCATCCCGTTTGCCCCTTTTGTGGGTGGGAATCCTGAGATCTGGAGTGTTCAAGTCTCCTGCCACAATGATCCCAACAGCCAGCAAGGGGTGAAGGTGGGGTACACACCCACAGTCTGAGTGCGCCCCCACGCTATGAAGTGGTGTACTGTACTCACCCCACCTTTGTAAATCTGCACATCTACTTGTCAGGTCTTCCTATCCCCTTTCCAGGGCTCCACCCTGCATTGAGGAGTCAAGTTCAAACCCTTCATCAGAGTCTACACCACGGGTTGGCAAACCATCGCCTGCCTGTTTTTGTATAGCTCATGAGTTAAAAGTGACTTCACCTGGGAGGCGGTGTGGCCGCCAAGTATAAATCATGTGGCCCCTTACTGACCAGTTTGCTGATCCCTGATCTACATTGTCTAGCCTCTATTGGGTCCTGTATGGCAGGTTTGGCCAGCTGCTTTTGCCAATTGCTCTGTGCCCAGTCATACTGGTCTTCTTCAGTCTCCTGAGCCCTCCTGCAGTTTGTTCACTCTGCCCTGAGGCCCTGACCCGCCAGTCTTCCTTTCCACATTCCTTTCTTAAAGGTTCACCCGTCCACGACATTCCTAGAGCACCTATAGGTTTGGAACAGCTACACCTGAGTTAACCGGAGTTAATGAATGGAGTGGTGTAGAACGCATAATAAACAAGAAGGTGCTGCTTCAGGAAACACCCAGCTGTGCCTCCCTTTTCCCTTCTGACGCGGCAGGAGTTGAGCAGAGCCAAAGTGGTCCTGGACTCCCACTCTTGTGAACACTGAGGGTCTTTGCAAGGTGCAGCTGGCTCAGACCTGTGTATGGTGTCTCTAGGGCAGAGTTGTTTAACAGCATTATCAACACTGGGGGCTGGTAGGGTGGGTGCTGAGCAGCATCTCTGTCCCCGCCCAGCTGTGACTACAGGTGTCCCCAGGCATGGCCCAGTGTCCCCTGGGGTGGCATAATCACTTGGATGAGAACCACTGATATACACTAAGAAGGGAAAAAAAGAAAGGCTTTCGAGTCAGCACAGGTCAGGTTTTCTGGCCAAATGGCCATTGCAAACTTAGGGAAAATTCTTTGTCTGCAGAGTATTTTGGATTTCAGAACTGCCGAAAATGGACTGTATTAAATTTGATGGTAAAGAAGGGTTCCAGGGACTCAGAAAGGTGATAGATCTACGTGAGCTGGAAGTGTCAGAAAAACCTTCTGGAGGAGCTAGGATTTGAAAAATTTGAGCAGACCTATTCATTCCATAAACATTTACTGACTGATGACCACGTATGTGTTAGGTCTCCAAGCTAACAATCTTGCAGCAAACAAGGCAGACAACATTCCTGCCTTTCTGAGTCCTCCATAACCCTAGTTGTAATTATTATTATTATTATTAATAATACAATTATCATCATCATCGCAGTGGGCTTGAGAAAGAACTGGGGGAGGACAGGAGGGGAAGAGAAAATTCCAGGAGGCACCACACAACAACCTGGGCGATTTTATAAAAAACAGTAAACAGGTCACATCGCTCTCCTAATGACAACCCTTCCTTAGCGCACATTTGCCTTTAAAACACATAGAAGTTGTGGTCTAGTCAGATGACTTACTCTCCAAACGCGTTACCCCTGTTCCTGCCTCCCAGTCTTGACCCTCACAGTTACCATGTGACGCTCCTCCCCGAGGTCTTGGCACAGGACAGTTGCATCTCCCCATCGAGTCCAGGCTGAAATGCCACCTCCTCCCAGAAGCCCTCCAGGACCACCCTCTCTAAAAGCACCACGAGCCCTGGCACCGACCACTCTATAAAGCTCTCGCTTGCTTCTTTGCTTCTTGAATGTCTGTCTCCGGCTCTGGAAGTCCGTCTAGAACTCATGGTCTCCCCGAGTTCACCTCAGGGCCCGACCCGTCCCTGGCAGAAGCGACGTGGAGTTGGCTGAATGAGTGAAACGCTGGAAAAAGCTAGTTAACTCATTCTGCCATGGAGGGGACGGGGTCCCGGGCTAGCCGACTCTCGCCCCCACCAGGGTCCCGTTCACCCCCGGGTCACAGTTGTCTCCGCTCTTAGCCCCAAGACGCGACTCCGAGAGGCACGAGGGTGCAAGGAGCGCCGGGGTCTCGCAAGCGGGGATGTACCGAGGGGCGGCCGGTACCTGCGGGGGGCTTCATGGCGGGAGGGTGTGTACCGGCGGCCTCTCCTTCCACCTGGTTCGCGTCGGGTCGCCTCAGCCGCGGCGACCAGCGGCCTCCGTCCGCTCGATAGCCGTAGGCGCCGCCTTCCCTACTGAGGCGCCCGCAGCCCGCGTGCCCACTGAATGCTGGGAGGGCGCGTGCGCCCCCGCCGGAAGGCAGGGCGCACGCGCGCCTCAACTCCACTCACATTCTGCAAGCCGCAGCCCTCCCTGACTTTCATTGGTCTCAGCTGCAAGGGGCGGAGACTTGGGGGAGGGGCGTTTCCGTGGAAACCCACGCATACAGCTGGTCACTCCCAACCTCCGAACCTTTGTGGTTTTGTTTGCAAGTACTTCGCCTGCGCTTCTAGTCCCCGTATTAATTTGTATTTGTCTCCTTTCTACCTTAAAAAAAAGAAACGTAAGCAGCAAAGTATGCTCGAGAAAGCTTTCAGTAAACGGATCCAGAACTTCAAACAATAGGTGTTTTGAAACAATGCAGTAACTTATATCTAGTGTTGTCGGCTAAAACACACAAAATCTTAAACCGTCTAAGGTACCCAGAAAGAAAAATTTACTAGACCTAAACTTCAAAAACAAACCCACCTTCTTCATTTCTGCAAAATAAAGTAATTCAGGGCGTTAAACGTGCATATGTTTTAAATATGATAAAAATGAATCAGCAGAACAATTCTAGCAACTTTAACACTAGTGGTGGGCAGTTCTGAGTCATCCTAGGGAAGTTCTCATCACTTACCCTGTATTAAGCACACCAAGCTTAATTCTATGTTAGTCTTCATTTCCAGTGTTCCCTGTACCTGGAGTGTTTTTCTTCGTCCTTCAAATCCAGTTAAAAGAAGAGAGACCAGACCCTCCCTAACCATGCGAGCCAGCTTACCTCCCCAATCACAAGCACAACCAACACCCCATGCTTTCTTCATAGCGCTTGCCATTAAGTGAAATTTATTCATTTATATACTAGTTTACTGTTTTATAATCCGTCTACCCCAATACAAGGTAATGAGAGCGAACACTGCTGGTCATTATAGTTGGGTTTGCAAGAAATATTTGTTGACTATTAGGCACCTGCTGTGAAAAATCTGTATTCCTTTATGATTTATGGATTGAATGAATGAAAGAATGCATTCGTGGGTAAGTGGGTGGATGCATAAATGAACAGAGATAGTGGATATCAGTTGCTCGCATTCACAGAGCGCGTGCAACCTACTAGGCGCCGGAGACCCAAACGCAGCTGTACCACGTGGCCAGCTCGGCACAACGTAACAGGCTCCACTTTCACGGAAAAGTCCGCCACTGTCCCACCATGCACCGCTCCATTCCCTCTGTAGAGGACGAGTCAGTCTTGATTTCCGTCCTCCGTTCGGTCGCAGAGGTCAGTTGCCCTAACGACCAGCTCATTCCCGCCTCTAAACTTCGTCACTTTCCTTCACGCCCGCCTGGATAATTGACGCGCCTGCGCAAAATGACAGCCAACGCGCGGGGAGGCTCTTTCCGCGCAGGCGTCACGCCTGGGGGGAGGGGCTGGGTGGCACCGTGGTGCGCAGGCGCAGGGGCAGCCGTCGGTGGGTCGGGGTTCCGTGGTCTGAGAGGTGAGTAGATGGGCACGACGCTGAGCTGGGCGGGCCTGGGGTCCGCGGCTCAGGGCTCCCGGGGCTTTGGGCCCCGTAAGAGGAAGTCGGGCTGGGGCTGGGTTCTCGGCGATCCACAACAGTGTGCTGTGTGAGCGGAGGGGAAACTGAGGCTGCGTGGCGTCGGGCAGGCCCTCGACATCCCTGGCCTCCCTACTCCTCACCCCAGGCCCGGGATATGCTAGTTCTCAGACCCGTGGGTGGACAACGGGAAGTAAAAGCGCCCACATGTAGTGATAGCTCCATGGGTGTTCGCTGCTGTCGGGAAACAGCCCCTTTCAATCGTGGGACCCCTATTCGTGGGGCTTATGTCGGGGCCCCTGTCCCAGCGCCGCCGTTCTCCATCTGGTGACCTTGGTCAGCCTCTTTACTTCTCAGAGCCTCAGTTTTCCCTTCTGCAAAACGGGCGTCGTCACAGTCCCTGCCTTGGGGATTTCGGGGCAGTGGGTTAAAACCACAGAGCCCAGCGCAAAGTGAGAGCACAAAGGTATCAGCTGTTAGACTTATTTCACACTTTGGCTTTTCTGCATGTTGTGCTCGAGGTGGGAGAAATCTGGGCTTGAGGACCAGCTCCACCACCTCCCGCCGGCTGCGTAAGCTTGGGCAAGTCGCTTTCCCTCTCTGAGCAGCACCATCCTTCTTCTAGAGGGGCTGTAGAAATATATGCGTGCTAGGGTTATTGTGAGGTTAAATACACTTAGAACATTTTAAAATCAGATTCCTGGTGCTTCTTAAGAGCTCACTGGAGAAGGGCTATTTAGTCTGATTTTCCTCTCCCTAGACCAGTGGTTTTGTCCCCCAGAGAGGACACTGGGCAATGGGGACATCTGTGGTTGTCATGACTGGGGTGCTCCTGGCATTGAGTGGGTGGGGGCCAGGGGTGCTGCTCAACACCCCACAGTACCCAGGATGGCCCCCCAGAGAATGGTCAGCTCCGAATATCAGCAGTCCCAAATTTAAACCCTGCCCTATACCAGTGGTTCTTCACCAGCAAGAGCTTGTGGGGGTGTGGTGGGGGAGCGCAGGAAATCATGTGCAAGGTTTTGTGTGGTGTGCGCATCCATTTTCGTGGGGAGGGGAAAAGGTACTTTGGCGTTTAGGCTCTGGAGTCAGACTGCCTGGGTTCGAGACTAATTTGTGACAAAACTAATAGGTGACCTTGAGAGGCACCCTTATCTTTCTAAGCCTGAGTTTTTCCTTCTGTAGGATGGGGATTAGATAACGCAACCCAGGGTCCCAGCAAACTGGTCAGGGGAGCAAATCCAGCTGCAGCCTGTTTTTGTAAATGAAGTTTTATGGAAACAGCCACACCAAATCACATAGGCTTTATCTGTGGCTGCTTTTAAATTATATTAGTAGTGTTGAGTCATAGCCACAGAGACCCAGTGGCCTATGAAGTTGAAGGAATTTACTCTGGCCCTTTTCAGAAAATGTTTGCTAACCCCTGAAATAAGCCATTGCATGTACAGCACTTAGCTCAGTGCCTGGAAAGTCCTTGGGACTCCAAGGATTTATAATACAGTGTTTCTGGAAAGGGGAGCGACTGTAAATGGGGTTAAGCTCTGCCACAGTTTGAGAGCTGTAGTCTTACTTGATCCTGCATTTTTTTTTTTTTTTTAGCTGAGCCATCCTGCCATCTGTTGGCAGCTCAGCGGCTGCTCAGCTTGGGCCGGGACTCGAACCGCTGTTGCTCAGAGCTCAAACTCTTGAGCGAGCTCTTAACCAACTGAGCCACTCAGCCGGCCCTCTTGAGCGAGCTCTTAACCAACTGAGCCACTCAGCCAGCCCTTTCTTTCTTTTTTTCTTTTTTTTTTTTTTTTGCCAAAACCCAACGCTGGCTGAGTTAGGAAATGCTCAGTGAGGGTTGAAGAAATGAAGGGGATTGTGAGTAGGCAGGCAAGACCGAAGATCTGGTGAGGAAACCAAGACCCAAAGAGAATGACCTCCCCAGGGAACCTGGTTGCGTGGCTCTGAATTTGACAGTGACCTCACATTTTCTTGAGTTCATATGGATCAAACGCGCCTGCCACCACGTGCTGGGGTTCAAGGGCAGATGACCTGTCTAACGGCCCACAGTCCACAGGGGGAAGACAGGCCAGGAAAGTGTCCTAGAGTTTTGTAGGAGATGCTGGACCACAGGTGGGACTCGTACTTGGTTTTGGCTGGAAAAAGAAGGTGTCTAGCTCTGTCTGAGGAGGTGACTTTGAAGCTTGGTGTGGAATGGAGAATTAGAATTTCCCCAGTGGGTCAGAGGAAAGGTGAGCAGTCGGTTTGAGTGGAGCATGGAGGGTTTGGATTAGGCCCAGCAGGTGACACACCGGTAGTGAGGGACCCTGTGTGCAAACGCGTAACATTTCAGGGAGCTGTCGAGGGTTTGTTGAGTGTGCAGGACATCCTGGTGGCATTTTCGAAAAACACAGGGCTGTGTTTTGGGGGGTGGGCTGGAACCCGAGTTCTAGTTTTGGGGCAGCCTTTCTTGGATACAAGAGGGTTTCTAGGACAGGAGGGAGGAGCATGGCTTGAGCTTGCGGACACCTGTGTCAGTGACAAGAACTGCGGATGCGTGGTGGGGGGGCAGAATGCCCACAGAAGTGGTGGGCCTCTGTCAAAAAGTGGGCGCTTCCTGTGGTGTGAGGGTCTGGTTGCTTATTTTCAGTAAGGGTGCCATGATCAGTCCTGGGCAGGGACATAAAAGGAATAGAGGCTGGTGTTTTTTTGTTTATTTGTTTTTTAATGATAAAATGAAAAGGTGGACCGACAGCTGGAAGAGATTTTGAAGGCACCAAAGAGGGGCTGGCCCTGGGACCCCTGCCCCCCTCCCCCAGCGTCCGCCCACGTTCACCAGGTTCATTCCTGCACCTGGAGCCCCGTTGGGCTTTCTGAGAGCTCGTACAGGCCTCACTGTTCACAGAGAGAGAGTTGGCTTTGATAGTGTTGTCCAACAGCCAAAGCCATACAAGTTGTGATTGTTCCAGAGACACCGGGTGCCTAGCAGCTGTCGAACAAAAGAACTATCATGGTGTCAGGCTGGGCCCGGCTCTGAGCAGCAGAAAGTTTGTTCATCTCAAAAGCCGTGCATTGACGTCAGATGGGCAAACTGTTCCCTGCCCTCCCCTCAGTCAGGAGGGAGGAGAAGCAGCAGTTTTTAAGGATCACCTGTGTCAGACAGTGTGCCAGATCCTCTGCTCTGGACTCACAGGCCCTTTCCTGCACTTTTCAAACCCAAAGCTCAGCAAACAGATCTCCTGCAAGTTTGCAGCAAAGTCATTTGACCAGAAAATCTGACTTATGCTGACCTAGAGCCTTAATTTTCCCACTTAGTGTCTGTCAGTGATTTTCAGCTAGGGGAGTTTTGGCCGTGTCTAGGGACATCTGTGATTATCACCATTGGAGGGGTGCTCCTGGGATCGAGAGGCTGGGGCCAGCGATGCTACCCAGTCCCTCACAGTGCCCAGGATGGCCCCCCACAGAGTGGTGACCTGGCCCCAGTGTCAGCAGTGCTGAGGGGGAGAGACCCTGCATTAATTATTTGAAATAATATTTAGTTTGATCACTGCTCACAAGAGACAGCAAAATAAGTCCCCAATGGTCAGGCGATGTAAACCAGGGTGACCCCAGCATCTTTGAGTCACCCTCTCCCTCCTCCCACTCAGGCTGCATATTAAGTGTGTGCAGCCTCCTAGGACTTCAGAGTCAGGTGGTCCCTGGGGGGTCAATGGAATCCCGTAACCCAAGGGGTCTTAATGGGAGGTGATCCTGCCTCCCACACCCTACTCTCAGGGGCCATTAGGCGGCTGCCAGGAATAATGTTAAACACCCTTCAGTGCACAGGAAAGTCCTCACGCAGAATAGAAATGAGCCACACATCGACAGGGCCTGGGTGGGGAAACCCTGCATTAGGTCTCCGAATTTTCACAACAGCCTGTGAAGGCGCCTCTGTTACCCCATTTTATAGAAGAGGAGAGTGAGGGCATCAACTCGGATTCTTTCAGATGTGACACCGAGACAAGGAAGGTGACATGCAGCTGACCTTGGCAGAATTGGCTAGGCCTAAGGCATTATGACATCAGACCTTGTCCTCCAGGGCAGTGGGATGTCCCCAGCCCAGGGACAGACTCCAGGGGGCCTTTGACTTGTTGACACTCAGTATGTCACATTGGGGAGGCATTGGAAGAACTGAAGGCATGCCAGAAATGAATATGACTTGGTCTCTTCGTTTCCTAAACCCTCAATGAACCCCTCAGTAGTCACCCCCTCCTGTGTCAGCTTAGTCCAAGGGGGAAGGAAAGTTATGCTAAAGATCAGATTTCCCAGGGAGAGAAGCAGACCCCTTACACACACACACACACACACACACACACACACACACGGCCCAGAGGGAACCCCACGTGAGCCAGTGATGACTCCAGAAGGTCCACAGTGGTGCCTGGAACACTGAGGCGGGAAGCCAGCTGCTCAGCCTGGGAACCTTTGCCACCTGTCTGAACCTTTGACCCCTCTATACAGCCCTGGCACACCTCTGCCCAGTTCGCCACCACAGTGATTTGGGGAGAGGGTATCAGCAAACTTAAAGGCCCAGGAGGCAAAATCAAATGTCATGTGGGCACTTGCATAACAGAAGAATGAAAAAGCCATTTCTCAACTAAGCTGGTGGCTGCCCTGATGTGACATTTGACCCCTGATTTAGGATCGGAGTCCCAGAATCTCAGAGGTTTACATCCTAAGGGGAGGACCTTTGGGAAAAAGGCTTTTTAATTTTAGTAGAATACACACAACATAAAATTCATCCTAACCATTGTTAAGTGTATAGTTCAGTGGCATTAAGTACACTCACAATGTCATACAACCATCCCCACCATCATCTCCAGAACTTTCCATCTCCCCAAACTGACACTCTGTCCCCATTAAACACTCACTCCCCTTCCCTCCCCCAGCCCCTGGCCCCCACCATCTACTCTCTGTCTCTGTGTATCTGACTTTTCTGGGAACCTCCTGTGCAATCACACAGTGTTTGTCCTTCTGTGTCTCTTAACTTCACTGAGTATAACATCCTTCGGGTTCTTCCACGTTGTAGCAGGTGTCAGTATCTGTCCTTTCTAAGGCCGAATGCTATCCCATTGTATGGAAGGAACCAGATTTCATTTATCCTCTCATCTGTTGATGGGTATTGCCTGGGTTGTGTCCACCTTTTGGCTACTCTTGAGTCATGCTGTTCTCTGTCAGAACAAATATCTGTAAAGCAAAAACATTTTGGACATTTTGGGCATGTGTGTCTGTCTCCTTGCGTTTGGAGGCCGGCATACTGGCGTGGCCAGCTCACTCTTGGTACCCTTTAGCTGGAAGGACGACTCACATTTTGGGACCTCACTGTCTTCAAAATAAGTTTATTGTAGTGGTTGATCTCCGTGGGCCCCTGTGTCGCCCTCAAGGTCTTCTGGCCAGTCCTGGTCCCAGACCATTTTGCATAAGTGGAATCACACACTGTGTGGCCTTGTGTGTCTGGCTTCTCTCACTCCCTTTTTTAAAGAAGCAGTTGTTGATGGATGTTGTTTTCCATGAACCAGAAACAGAGCTCGGAGTGCAGCCAGTCTCACACGCCCTGACTGCTCTGGACCCACGAGCGGCTATGAGGCGCCAAGTGCTGGCAGCAGCCCAGTCTGCAGTCAGCCAGCTTGTGAAGCCTGGGGCTGAATGACCAGGGATGATGGGTTAATGATAGTGGGGTCAGGAGGCCTGCTCCTCAAGTTCTAGGGCCGTTCACCCCACTGGAGGTATTTCATGGGGGCCACGACACTTTACACCATGGCTCCCAGCCATGCCAGGTGAACATGAGGGACCTTGGGCAGCACGTGGGTCCCCATCCCACGCCTGTGTCCTCTCTAATCAGAGCGACGATGCCCCTTGGAGGTCACTGTGTGGCAGGAGTGAGACATGCTATGTCAAGTGCCTGACGTATCACAGGCCCTCAGGTAGCAGACCCCTTGTTCGTTTATTATTCTCCCCTCAGCCCTGGGGACACTGAAGCTGGTCACTCTCTATAGGGAGCCTTCAGCAATACTCCAGCCCCCACCCCCTAGATGCCAGGAGCACCCCAGTCATGACAACCACATATGTCCCCAGACACGGCCCAGTGTCTGTTGGGGCAGGGTCGCTCCTGGCCTGAGAGTACAGAATGTTGCAGAGGAACCCAGAGGAGGCCCTTGGGCAGCCTGGAAGGGGATCTGTGCCCCAGATACCTGTCTGGCCCCTCGGGTTTCTTGGAGGCACCAGGACTTGGAAACTTGGAGTTATAGAACTGCAGGATTCCAGCCATGCAAGGTGGTCCTCCAAGTCCTTGGAGAGCCCCCGTGTGTCCCCCATGTAGCTCGTGAAAGGGTGATGACTGGGAGGCCCAGGGCCACATCACCCTCTGGTGGGAGCAAGGAGGCAGGACTCTGAGGGGTGCTCCCTCCGCCCATACCCCCAAGAGCAGGTGCTCTGGGCCCCGGGGCCTCAGTGTCTCATCTGTGAAATGGGACGGTTAACTTTTTACTCACAGATAGAATTAGCCAATGTGCCTGAATGGGGGACATCTTCAGGGTCCTGTCTGGGCAGCCCTCATGTTCTTGGCTGGGGTCTGCAGCTCCTGAAAACCTCCAGGCATCGTCTCTTCCTGTCTCAAGATGGATAACAAGAAGCGCCTGGCCTACGCCATCATCCACTTCCTGCACGACCAGCTGCGGCACGGGGGGCTCTCATCCGACACCCAGGAGAGCTTGGAAGGTACTCAGGGGCCTCCTGCCCCAGGAAGAGAGTCCCCAGTCCCCAGCTTCCTGCCCCTCCCCCTTCTCCCTCTCCTCCCTTTCCGTCTTCCTCCCCCTTTCTCCTCCCTCCTCCTTCTTCCCCTCCTCCTTTCTCCTCTTCCAACTTCCTCCTCCCCCTCCTTCCTCCTCCCCCTCCTCCTCGAAGCCCTCCTCCCTCCCACCACAGGGCGGGCATGATAGGTCAGGGGACTTGCCGAGCCACAGATGCAGGTCCCCATCCTCATTTCATAGGCAAGACAATGAGCCCCGGGTAGGTGCGGGACTGAGTTCTAGCCCAGGGCTCTTCCCCCACCACATGGTGCTGTCCCTCCGTTGACTAGGCCAGGCCTCCTGCAGGTGGGAGCAGGTGCTGGTGTCGGGGCAGAGGGCAGGCGGGGAGCCCTGCACACGTGGCTGTCCCTGTCCCACATGTGATCATGCAGCCCCTGGAAGGAACCCAGTTGTGAAGATTTGGAGGGAGGGGTTAGCCTCGAACTCCAGGTTCAGCCAGAATCCCAAGAGGCCTGACAGAGTGTCCCCAGCACCTTTTCCCCCACATGGCACTCCAGGCTGGGCTCAGCCCCACAGCCCCCCAGCTGGGCAGCCTCAGCATTGTGACCCCACCAAGAACCCTGATGTCACCAGCTGAGCCCCACTGGGCGGGAACAGTGTCTTGCCCTACACGTCCCACTCACGGGGCTAGAGACATGTCCATCTGTCCTACGGAAGTGGCCGGAGTCCAACCAGGACCCTGGGGCATGTGTTGCACGATGTGCCCAGGTCTCTGCCAGCACACTCCATGACAACTAAGCGCGAGCCCCCTGAGCCCCAAGTTGTAAACATGAGTGCGCTCAGAATAAAATTCCCGTCTCCCTTGTAGTGGCAATCCAGTGCCTGGAGACCGCTTTCGGGGTTACAGTGGAAGACAGTGACCTTGCACTCCCTCAGACTCTTCCAGAAATATTTGAAGCCGCCGCCACCGCTGCGGACAAGGTGAGCCGCTGGGCTGCCCCATCACTGGCCAGGGCAGTAAGAGCAGCACAGGTAGCAAATGGCTCCGGAGTACTGAGAGGAGGCCCATGTTTCTCCTTGGCTGGGCACCTGTGCTGCCCCGCTTCCTTGCCCTCAGAGCTCAGCCTCCCTCTGGTGGCCCCTGACAGGGAGGGAGGTTCAAGGTGCGGGTTTGGAGGGTGAAGAAGACAGCGGGACTGCCATCTTTGCTTTGGGGCCAGGAGATGCCACAGAACCTGAGCCCCGAGCGAACCCCACCATCTGAGGAGGACTTGGCCGAGGCAGAGCGCCTCAAAACCGAAGGTAAGAAAGTTCTCCATGCCCACCAGGCAGCTTGCCCACCTGGACTCCGGGGGTTGCAGGGCGGGTGAGGCCGGCTGGTCCCTGGCTGGCTCTGCAGCTGAGGGAGGGGTGCCCTTCAGTAGAAGGCAGCAAACCAGCCTTTGGAGATGGGGCCTGGGTGGGAGGTGGCTTTTTAGAACATGGACGCTATGACATGGAGAAATCAGACCCTCGCACATGATAGGTGGGAATATAAGTGGTGCCGCTGCTGTGGGAAATGGTCACCACCTCAGAAACGGTTAAACACCTTGACCACGTGACCCAGCAATTCTACTCATAGGCATGTGCCCAGGAGACATGCAAACACACGTCCGCAAGATGCTTGTACCTGGATGCTCATGGTGGCACAATTCCCAGCACCCAAAGGTATAAACCGCCCAGGTGTCCTTCAGTAGATGGTGGACACGCACAGCGTGGCCCGTCCACACACTGGAGTGTCACTTGGCCATGAAAAGGAGGGAGGCGATGACACTCGCCACAACATGGGTAGACCTTGAATACACGGTGCTCAATGAGAGAAGCCAGACACACAAGGCCACACTGTGTGGTTGCATTTATGTGAAATGTCCAGAACAGGCACATCCACAAACAGGAAATGGGTTCGTGGTTGTCAGGGATAGGGGGTGACTGCTGATGGGGACGGGGTTGCTTTTTGGGCTGATGGAGTGTTCTGGAATTAGAAGTGATGGTTGCACAACTCCAAATATACTAAAATACCACTCAGTTGTAAAATTTCAAAGGATACTTTTTGTGGTATGTGAATTACTTCTCATTATTTCTCTATTTCTGAAGGGCGACAAAAAAGTGACAATATTTGAGACTTATGTCCCTGAACACTGCAACCAAAGCAGTGACAGCTGCTGTCACCAAGTGCTGGCTCAAGCGCTCAATGCAAACCGCACCCTCCTGCTCATGTCTGAGTGTTGCATCCTGCTCCCTGAAATCTCAGACCTGCAGCTAGGAGCCTGGGAGAGAGAGCTGGGAACACCGCCTCAGACTTCTCAGGTCCCCTGTGAACAGCAGGTGTGCATTCTTCTCTTTCTCCAGGAAACGAGCAGATGAAAGTGGAGAACTTTGAGGCCGCCGTGCATTTCTATGGGAAAGCCATTGAGCTCAACCCTGCCAACGCTGTCTACTTCTGTAACAGGTAGCTGCTTGTGTGGGCTGAGGCATTAGTGTGGCAGGTTAGCAGTTGCCCCCCTCCCTGCAGGCCCACATACACCAACAGTCAGGCAGCCAGTGAGGGATTACCCAGAGTCGCTAGTGACATTACAGTTATGTGGCACTGTTCTCTGTACAGATGTGGAGCCTAGAAAACAACCCAAAATTTGGGTAACGTTGAGGAACTATGTCTAGCCTGTACTTTTTTCTTTTTTTTAATTAATTTATTGGGGTAACATTAGTTAACATTATATAAATTACAGGGGTACAGCTATAATACGACATCTGTACACTTCATTTTGTGCTCACCACCCGAAGTCTAGTTTCATTCCATCACCTTGTATTTGACCCTGGCCTGTGCTCTTAAAGGAAGAGCCAAATTAACTCTCACATAGCCTTGCTGTATGGAATATTGTACTTATGAGAGGGACTGAGGGGACAGCAGGAGGCCACATGGTGCCCCCAGTGTGGGAGGCAGGAACATAGTGCAGAGAAGACACTAGAAGGGTGCATGCCTCCGGGCCAAACGTGTTTTTTTGGTTTTGTTTTTGGTTTTTAAATTTTTTTTATTGGGGAACAGCCATGGTCATTGGTTAAACATTGCTTTCATGCTACAATGGCATAGTTGTGTTGACTCTTTTAGGGAGGGCGCAGCTCACAGTGGCCCATGCGGGGATTGAACTGGCAACCTTGGTGTTATCAGCACCATGCTCTAACCAACTGAGCTAACTGGTCACCCCTGGTTTCTTTTTAACTCTTTTTGGGGAAATAGTTCTAGATTTACAGCAAAGTTGTAAAGGTGGTACAGATTTCTCAAATACCCTTTGCGTAGCCTGGCCTGGCCGCATTCCAACTTGTGTTTCCACCTGACACCTTTCTGTGCTTCAAAACCAGAAGACCATAAAGTGGAAACACTAAAACCTAAGATGGTGAGAAAAGAACCCTGCCTCATAGCCAAGAGCTTTGACGGCAGTCTTGTGAAGGGTCTTGGGTGTTTTTCAAACAATCCTGGCATATTTGACAACAGGAAGAGCCTGGACAGTGGAGTCTAGTGACTGTGGGTTCAGAACCACATCCTATCACCACCTGTCTGCTGTGCAGTGTTGGGCACATCCCTCTGCCTCCTTCAGCCTCAGTGTCCCCCACTTGTGAGGGGGACAGCACAGCCCCCCAGCAGGTGAATGCCTGTGTCAGCCTGCATTCATCTAACTGTCATATGTACATACATATGTACGAATGTATGGTTAGATGGTTAAACCAAACAGCTCCTCCTGGGCAGCCTGCCAGGGATGCAGCTCTCTGACTACCCTGCTTTGTCTCCCAAGAGCCGCGGCCTACAGCAAACTTGGCAACTATGCTGGGGCCGTGCAGGACTGCGAGCGGGCCATCTGCATAGACCCGTCCTACAGCAAAGCCTACGGCAGGATGGGGTGAGTGCTGGGTGGGCATCCATCCCTGGAGCCCGGGGATCCCTCCAGTCTCTGTCCGGGCCCAGGCTGCCCCTCCCCCCACATCCAGCACATTCCATCTTTCAATTGTGGAGGTTTTTCCACCCCACAGCCAGCTCTCCAACACCAGGGGGTGTCCAGCAATTTGGCTCAGTCTTGAGACCACCTGCCTGGAGTTGATACAGACCCCACAGGCTCAGGGCTCAGCCCCACAAGACCACCCCCACCTCAGATGCCAGTCACAGGTCCAGGCCATCACCTGTGCTTCTGACCAGCCAGCTCTAAGTTGGGGGTTTTCCGCAGCCCCTCTTCAGGTTTGATAATTCTCTAGAACAGGTCATAGGACACAAGGACTTGCTTTGTCTATATTCACCAGCTTGTTAGAAAGGATACAGATTGCATAGCCAGATGAAGAGGCACAGGGCAAGGCCCAGAAAGGGCCTGGGTGCAGGGCTCCAGACCCTGTGGAGTTGGGGCTGTGCCACCCTCCTGGCACATGGACACGGTCACTCTCTTTAGGTGTGATCTAAAGGGGTTCATTATGAATAACAAAGGACACACCTGTGACTCAGGATCCAAGGACCTTGGAGCTTTATGCCAGGAACAGGGACAAGGATCAAGTAAACATCTTTATCTGACCACCCCTGTCCCCTGCCTCCTCAGAGCTCCCTCTTCTGGGCCTCAGAATCTGTGGTGTTGGGTACCACCAGCCACCAGCACTATGGGCAGTCTTAGCATGTGTCCGTCCTGTCAGCCCCCCCCCCTCCCCCCCCTCTCTTGTGTCCTCTCCGCTGAGCCCAGGTGCTGGACAAGGAGTGACAATGACATGGAGACAGTTTGGGGGACAGGGCCACGGAGGGACGGGCACTCTTGGCATTTCTCCCCCGCAGCCTGGCACTCTCCAGTTTGAACAAGCACACGGAGGCCGTGGCCTACTACAAGAAGGCCCTGGAACTGGACCCTGACAATGAGACGTACAAGTCCAACCTCAAGATAGCAGAAGTGAAGCTCAGAGAGGCGCCCAGTCCCGTGAGTCACCCCGGGGAACGAGGGGTATGATTCTGGCAGAGTGGCAGGGCACAGCTAGGCCGGGTAGATGCTCTCACAGCTCACAGGCTGAGGCTGGGCTTGACCTGTGTGCAAAGAACGTCTGTGCTGTTGGGGGGCTTGGCGTTTGCTTAATCAGGTATGAGACACATGGAAATGCCTGTCAGGATGGAAGACATTTTTATCCTCACACGTCGTAGAAACAGGAGGGTACGTGCCTCAGGGCCACACAGAGAAGCGCCAGAGTGGGTCAGGAGGCAGAGGGAGGGGGACTCATGGACCAGAGCCTTTGTGGTTTCTGTAGGAGGGCATGGTAAGGCAGGGGAAGCAGGCTCAGGACTGGCTGGTTGGAATGATTCCAGGGGCTCTGGAACATGGGGCTGGCCCTCGTAATCTGGCACCTGGTCCTGGGGTGACTGAGGCAGAGGGATAGTGGCCTGGAGTATGAGAGCCCTGTAGAGGAAGAGATGGGGGTGGGCTCTGAGTTGACTGTCTCTAGGAATTGGTCACCCTGGGGAGGGGCATCCCTCCAGGGTCTGGGAGGCCCCACGTGTCAGAGCATCAGAAACAAACAACAGGCTAACACACTGCTTTTCCCTAGTGATGGACAGAGGGCTTCACACGTTTTCTGAAGCACCCCTGGCCACAGGGCCTGGCTGCTCAGGTTGAGAGCACGTCTGTCTGAGCTGCACATCTATCTTAGAGCTCCAAACGGGCCCCGCATGGGCTCACTTCTCAGTTCCCAGGGCCAGTAGTATTGTCCTGGGTCCACATGCCACAAACTGGTGCTTTCCTCTTCCCCACAGACGGGAGGGGTTGGCAGCTTCGACATCGCGGGCCTGCTGAACAACCCCAGCTTCATGAGCATGGTAACTGCCTTCATCTTCCCTGGCCGCATCCACACCTATCACCCAGACCTGCCGGGGTGCTGCCTGCCGTAGACCAGGGCCACGGGGGCCGAGCCGTGCTCTCTAGTGGCTGTCCTGGGCACTGCAGTGCTGAGCAGCATCCCTGGCCCCACCCAATCGATGCCAGGAATACCTACAGATGTCTCAGATGTCATGTGTCCCCTGGGGGGAGCAAGGCCCTAAGTGAGACACACTCCCCACCCCTCACTCCCCCAATATTAAGCACAAAGTACAAACTGACTACTACCTCTCCCGACTGATTAGCCTAGGAAAACTACATCCCCACAGCTTGGTGTCCTTGCTGGGGCACAGTGACAGTGATAAGTCTGTGCATGCTGCCCCAGGTTCAGACACGACACCAGAGTGGTAGGTGTCCCTGAGGTGGAAGTGCCACCTTCCGGTGCCAGAGACTTAAGTCCCGAGGTGCTTCTGCTGTCCTTTGAGAGGGGGCTCCCTGCTGTGACCCATTGGGGTGGATCCCCACACACATGTATGCATCCCTGGGCAGTCTCACTTGGCCTGAGCCTGCTCTGCTGGCTCACAGAGCATCGGGGTACAGGCCCTCAAACTGTTAGGAAGGGAAAATTCCAGAAGCCACTGGTAGAGAAAGGCCCTCACTACAGCGAGGCGCATCTCACCTATGGGCAGAGGTCATGCTTTCAGTGCAGGTCTCTGCGAAAGCCTTGGTCTCTGTCAATGGATGGGGTGAGCGGGCACGAGCTGTCCAAAAGGTGTCCTGGCAGGGGGACTCGGCCTGATGGCAGTCACTCCTTTTGACCTCATCCACCTGGAGTCGGCAGGTTATACCCACTGCTGGGTTTTGTAGTTTTATTGGCATGGCCACACCTGTGCATCTCCATGTTGTCCCATGGCGGCTTTCAGCAGGGCTGAGTGGTTAGGACACAACAGTGGCCCTGAAAGCCAACAGTACTTGGCTTTCCAAGTACCCTCTAGCCCTTGACAGAAAGGCAGGTAGCTCGTGAGCCAACCTGTCAGCTCTTTCAGTCCGTACCCATCCACTCCCTGACCTGGATGGATCCTAAGGAGGTGTCCTCAGTGGGCAAGTGACTGCACAGGAGTGCCCAATGCAGCATCACTTGCTGCTAGAGCAAACTGGGAATGACTGGCTCTCCTAACTTGTTCAGTGGCCAGAAAAAAGGTCCAAGATACACCCCATGGTGAAACCTAAGCAGCCAGCAGAAAAATGATGAGATGCACTGGAATCTCTTAAAGGTCCCAGGCAGGATTAAAGTGGTGAAGCGGGAGGGTCACCACGGGAGTGGAGGGGGAAATGGGATCTTGAATGAGGCCGGGAGACTAAATGCCGGTGCAACTGGCCTGCTGTACTTGGGCGGGAGAGCCCAGGGTGCTCGCTCGCGAGGACGTGTGTCCTCAGTTAAAACGTGTTGGAAGCTGTCTTGTGACAATCTGTTCTTTTCCTCAGGCATCAAACCTGATGAACAACCCCCAAGTTCAGCAGCTGTAAGTGATAGCCATTCTTCTCTGAGTTTTAGGTTAAATCTCTTTTTTTATTGTGGTAAAATGTACATAAAATTTACTATTTTAACCATTTTAGCTTACAACTCAGTGGCCTTAAGTGCATTCACAGTATTGTGCAGCCATCACCACCATGTAATCCCAGAACATTCCATCACCTCAATAAGATCCCCCCTCCCTTTCACTCATACCCCCTCCCCCAGCCCTGACAACCACTAACCCACTTCCTGTCTGGATGTGCCTGTTCTGGACAATTACATAAATGGAATCACACACTGTGTGGCCTTGTGTGTCACTAACATCTCCCAGAGTCACTTGGCCAGAATTGCCCTGCTGAGAAACACTGCCTTTAAGGCAAAAAACTGTGCCTGGGAAAGCTGACAGGATTCATGGGGGCTGCCATCAGGGAGAGGGGTGGGCCCTGGGGACCTGCCAGGTGGTGGCCAAGTATCTCTTGCTGGTGGAGGTGAAGGGCTGATGGGGGCCAACCAGTGGTGCGAGTCACAGGCTCTCCTTGCAGCATGTCTGGGATGATTTCTGGTGGCCACAACCCCCTGGGAACTCCTGGCACCAGCCCCTCGCAGAACGACCTGGCCAGTCTCATCCAGGCGTGAGTAAACCTGCTTAGTGGGGACTCGGGCAGGCAGGAGTGCATCATGAAAGGGGAGGGGGGAGGCGCGTGTCGGTTGTGTCCCTGGTGCTCTGTAGGTCCTTTTTCCTGTAGTGAGTGGCCACACTGCCCTTGAGGGGCGCACATGGGGACACGTGACTGTGTCAGGGGTTTCCAGCCCTGCTGAGCCCGGCACCTCCCCTCAGGGGTCAGCAGTTCGCTCAGCAGATGCAGCAGCAGAACCCAGAGCTGATCGAGCAGCTTCGAAGTCAGATCCGAAGTCGGACGCCCAGTGCCAGCAACGACGAGCAGCAGGAGTGACCACCCATGTAAGTCCCCTCAGGCTGCCAGGCTGGGCCCTCAAGGTCTGAAGGGTCACCCTCAATCACTAAGGGCAGGCAGGGGGCATTTCGGGTCCTCATGCTCCCTTACAGGTGTTCCTCCCCCTGCCCACTCCCCTGAGGGAGGGCTGAGGGCTGAAACCCACTGCTCCTTGGAAAGGCTGCTTCCTGAGCAACAACAGGTGACAAGCGTGTCTTTATGTGCACATGCAGAGTGTGCAGGCAGCTACCACAAGGTCATCTGGGTGTGAGGAGGACAGGCGGCACCTGCCTCTCCTTCCTGCCCGGCTGTTCTGCCTGGGTTTCATGGGGCTTTTGTTTGTTTGAATGTTTGTTGGTGTGAACAGATGTTACATGTATGATTGCTCAAAAATGCACATAGGTGTTTCTGAAGGGTCCGTGGCAGCCTTGGCTGGCTCAGTTAGCCATTTCCAGGGCCCCTGCCCTCTGCCCTCTCTGTGTCTAATGACTGCTCCCTGGGTGTGGGTGTCAGGCGGCTTTCCTCCCGAAGTGTTGGCATTATGCTGTGGTGTGACCTTTCTGTTGTCATTTTCCTTCTCACCATGATCTTTTGTAGAAAAATGTAAAGAAAAACCCAAAAAAGGCTGAAAAAAACAATTTTAATCTTTCCAGCCAGAGCAACTAATATTAATATTTGGGTCACTTTTTCTTCCAGTTTTTTGCCTTATTTTTAAGAAAAAACGTAGCTGAGGTGAATTTTCTTATTCGTTATTCATTGGAACCTTATCCCCAAACTACCTTCTCCGACATCTTCACATCTGGGCCCCCAGAACCACCTGCGACAATGGCTGCACTCTGTTTCTGTGCTAACCCGGCCACCACCAGCCACGCGGAAGTGGGGGATTTAGATTTCAGCAGTGGCGGCTTGCAGCAGTGCCCTCCCCGCATCTGGGTGCCCGCCTGACTGACCGCCCTCATGTCTTGTTCCTCCAGCCATCCCAGTGCCATCAGGTCCTTCCTGGCCAACTGGAAGCCTCCGCGTGTTCTACCCTTTTCTCCTGTTGGACTACCCGAGAGAAAAAGAAAACTAAATTGGATCTGCATGTTCAGAAGGATTTTTATGATTTTTCCCCCTCGCCCTCACTTCACTTTTTGTATTCACGGCTCCCAGACCCTTCTCAAAACAGAACCAACAAACTGTGAACACAGACCAGCACCAGTCTCCCCCCAGGCCCCCAAAAACCCATCCACTAAAGCATTTTCTAGAATATTCCGGAGTGGGAATGGGCCTCAGGCTGCTCTCTGAGAAGCATCCGGTTTTATGTCCAGCCATATCCGGAGCCCCTTCCATGGCCCCTGCCCCCTCAGTCTGTCTTCAAGGGGCTTCCCCAGCCGGTGAAAAGCCACTTTCTGAGTCAACATTGGCCACCTGGCTATGCCCTGCTCGGACGAGCTCACTGCCAGCCATGGTCAGGGTGCTCACGCCCGCCAGGCCCTTGGACCCAAGTTCTTGCATGAGGAACTCCAGGTGCAGACTCCTGAAAGACGTGGATTGCCCTGTGCCGAGTGGGAGCAAGAGCAAGACCGTGCGATGGTTCCGGGAGCGCGGGGACAGCTCCGGGGACTGCTTCCCATCAAGTGTTTTGATGGACACGCATCTCACCCCTCCAATCCTCCTTCCCCAGTACTCGCTCCACAGACTGTGAGGGGCGTGATTGTGACCTTCGGGCCTGGCCCCCTAGCCATCCTAGCCTGCCTGTGTGTCCAGCCCCCAGTGGGCACCCTCTGCTGTTCTGGGGCCCTGGTGCCACCCACCTTGGCCTGCAATTGCTGAGCAGCCAAGAGCTGCCTCCCAGGAGGGCAAGCATTCAAGCCCAGGCCAGGCAGCCTGCCCAGGACTTGAGGCCACCAGGGACATCCCTGCAGCCCCTGCTTGGGCAGGGGCTTGGTGGGGAGATCTGCCAGCCAGCCCACCGCACCAGCAGCAGTGTTGGAGGCTCCCTCGTGGTCTGCAAGGTCGACCCCGTGCTATGTGTTATAGGAAACTAGTAGGAAGAAGGGCCACCACCAGTAGTCATCACTGGCCGGCGAGGTGGCCCTAACTCGAGTGCTAGTCATGGTGATGAGTGTAACGGGAATAAATAGGCATCGTGACCTCTGCCTGTCTCTGTGCTGGCCTCTTGGTGCCACCCCTCCCCTCCCTGCCCCACATTTCCAGAAACTTTCCAGCCTTTCCAGGAGTTTCTAGATCGCCCAGGACACTCATTCCAGCTTGACAGCACTGTAAGCATGTCCTGTGCTGGCGTCACGATGGTTCAAGAAACAACAAATCTGGGCTGTCCCCATGTACCTTCATTTCCTCGCCTTTGACCCCAGTCCAACCCCTGTGTAAAGGATGACCCCAGGGATCAAGCTAGACTCCTACGTTTTGGGGGACAGGGCAGTAAAGTTACTCTTCATTGTTTTTCTAGTATATTCTAACAGCACATGAATTCTCCATTCCATAGTCCGAAAACCCAACCTTCTATAACAAACAGCTCTAGGGGAGAGACGTGGTCCCAGGCAGGAAGGAGCCCAAAGAACCTTCCGGATTTGTCTTGGCCCTGATCCTTGGGTGCTGTGCAGGCTCTGTGGACACAGAAAGCACTCCATGGTCATTTTGTAAACTTTACGTGGACTCGATTCCTATTTGTAATATCCCATAGTGGGCACCATCATACCCATTTCACAGGTGAAGAAACAGCTTTGACTGTCTTCCTGGTGCAGCCTGACTCCCAATTGTAGTGCCTGTGCTGGGAGGGGCTAGCTGAGGACCCCACCTCAGTGTGAGGGCCTCCTGCTTCATCTGCAGATGAAGAAATGAGATTTCCAAGCTCAGCAGTTATCCTCCCACAAATCACAAAATACCAACTGGGAGTCAGCTGCACTAAGAAGCACTAATTCTAGTATGGATGGTAGATGGGGATCAAGGGTAAGGCCTGTGTCTGTCCTGTAGGGTCTATACCAGGGGTGATTCTGCCCCCAGGAAACAATGGACAATGGGGACATCTATGGTGCTCCTGGCATTGAATGGGTGGGGCCAGGGATGCTTCTCAACACCCCACAGTGCCCAAGACACCCCCATAGAGAGTGACCTGGCCCTGAATGTCAGCAGTGCTGAGAGGGAGACCCTTCTTTAGGACAATGGCTATCAATGTGTGACACCCTACTATTCCAGCCCAGCAACATTAGCAGCTCAGAGCTTGATAGAGATGCAAATTATTGGCCTCCCACCCCCAGACCTACTGGATCAGAAATTGGGTGGGGCCCAGTCATCTGATTTGTGTTTTTGGTTTTTTAAATTCATACAAGGAATTTTATTGTGCAAATAGGGTCATCTGGCTCCCCAGAACATTTTGAGCTCCATTAAGACTGTCCATTTCACAACTCTCAGTCCAGGTCTTAGAGATTAAAAAGAGCCCCAAAGGCCCCTCTGATCGTGGGCACTGAGGGCCACGCATCCTTTGGCTCCCTGGTGTTTGAGCTGTGCGTGGGTTGTTCAATAGATGCTTGCTTCCTGGTCTGGCTGCAGCCCCTGAGTAGCTGCTTGAGGAGTGTAAGGTTGCTGTCTGTGCGAGGCAGGGTTAGAACTGGGAGGCAGTTCCCTTTATACTGATCACTGCCATCTTGGCCCGATCCTGCTCATTCCGATTTGGGATCTGCAACATTCTCGTGTAGCCCCCATTTTTACCTTGGTACCGAGGGGCCGGTACTTGAAACAGCTTTGGGGTCACGTCATTTTCTGTGAGCCAGAAGTCGGCCACACGCATGGCTCCTTTGTTGGTGTCTCCCAGCTTCCCACAGTCGATGAGCTACTCAGCATAGCCCCATATCGCTTCCATGTGCACCCATGATGCCTCGATGCGTTCATGTCACACTGGTTGCATGAGCAACAGGTCAATGTGGGACTTGGAACCAACGCCCAGGCAGTGGAATAAGCAGCCATGGGAGATGGTGGCAGCAACTGACAGCCACATGTTCCCTCTAGTCATGTCTTTTTTTTTTTTTTTAA